CCAGCCGGCTTCCGGACTCACCACAGCTTGAGCCACCGTCTGGTCCTCTTCACGTCTTCAACTTCTTAGCAATTATCAAAAGCGAGTTGAAATTTTCTTTTGAATTGTGTTTTTCAAGTGTTAATATGATTGTTTAATTATCAATTCACACATTTACATTCTGTTATCTATGATTGAAGGATACAAATCTAAAATTTTAATATTATCAAGAATATGCAATATATTAGTTTTGTATATCAAATAGTTTCTTCCTTTTTATTAAAAATTAAAATATATTAAAATGCAAAAAGGATTTATGGTTGACGGATTGCTATTTATTTTGAGAATTTGAGTTATATAAAAATCATACATTGTAGAAAGTAAAATTTGTGAGAATTAGTAACTAAATGTAAGTAAAAAAATAATTATTGATTAATTGGAATAATGCTTTGATATTATTTTTCATTGACTACTGAAAGTGTTTCCATTAGGTACCCTTGTTTTATAATAGTTTTTTTTATTTTTAGATAAGTAGATACTTATTGTCCGTACCGGGGAGAAATCTTCTGGATCCATCACTGTACATGACTTTTCAAATTTATGATTTTATCAGCTATAAAGTAATATTTTTGTTCAATTTTATTTATCTCGATACAATGGAAATTACGCATTGCCTACTTCAAAGTTTTACAGTTAACATGGGCTATATAACCAATGATTTGTTTTCCATATTTGTGTTTGTGACCAAATAACAATTAGTATGTGTAAGAAAAAATTCATAATTTTTATAGACTATAATCCAAGATTTTGTAATCATTTTTATTTGTTTCAACTAAATAACAATTGAGTACGTGTATTTTAGAATTTATGATTTCATAAGCTACAACCTAGGATTTTTATTCATTTTTGCTTGTTTCTACAAAGACAATAAAGTACACGTACTTCAAAATTCATAATTTTTATGGGCTGACCCACGATAATTTGCCAATTAAATTTGTTTCAATACAATGATAATTACTTATGTGTACTTGAAATTTATCAACTATCACGGGCTAGAATCCACGAGTTTCATCAATTTTCATTCGTTTCTAACAAATGACAACTAATCATGCAAACTTTAAAATTTGATTAGTGTGGGTTGTAATCTACAATTATTATCTATTTTTGTTTGTTTCTATCCAATGTCAATTACGTGTGGAAACCTCAAACTTCACAATTTTGAGGGGCTATGTAACCCATGATTTTCTGGGATATAATTCATAATTTTGTCCATTTTCGCTTAATTCAACCCAATGGCAATTATTTATGCATACTTCAAAATTTGTGATTTATATGAGATATAATCCATAATTTTTGTCTATTTTCGTTCTTTGGATCAAATGATAAGTATGTATACTTCAAACTTCATGGTTTTCATCGACTAATAAGCCATGATTCTCTCTCTCTCTCTCTCTCTCTCTCTCTCTCTCTCTGTGTGTGTGTGTGTGTGTGTTGAACCAATATCAATTAAGTTTGTGCATTTCTTTTCATGATTTCATAGGCTCTAAACCACGATTTTTTATTTAATTCCATTTGTTTCGACATAATGGAAATTAAGCATACTTAATTTAACATTTCATAATTACTTAATTCAACATTTCATGATTTTCATAGGCTCATGATTTTGTCCATTTTGATTTTTGACTAAATGACAATTAAGTATGTGTAATTCAAAATTTCATGATTTTCATGGGCTACCTATGATTTTTATCGATTTTTGGTCATTTCACCTAGTGACAGTCAAGCATGTGTAATTCAATTTTTTTGCAACTTGCATGGGCTATAACCCATGATTATTGTCTTTCGTTTCTACCCAATATCAAGTAAGTTTGTGCATTTCAAGTTCATGATTTCATGAGCTATGAACCATAATTTTTATTTTTTTCGTTTGTTTCGATGCAATGTTAATTAAGCATACTTATTTCAAAATTTCACAATTTTTATGGGCACCCATTATTTTTGTCCATTTTGTTTTTACTAGAAGGCAATTAACTATGCGCAATTCAAAATTCACAATTTTTATGGGTTACCCAAGATTTGTCATTTTAACACAAGATTTGTCATTTTCAATCGTTTGACCCAATGGTAAGTAGACGTACTTTAACTTTTTGCGATTTGCATGGGCTATAACCCCTGGTTATTATCTATTTTAAAGTAACTATGGGAGCCTAAAATTTTGCAATTTTCATAAGCTATAATCTATGATTTTTGTTCAACTGTGACTGAAAGGCAACTACGCATTTGTACTACAAATTCACGAAGTTGATGGGTTATAACCTATGATCATTGTCCATCTTCGTCCGTCTCAACGTAATGACAATTAATTACGCATATATCAAAATTCATGATAATTATAGGCAATAACATATTTGTTTTTTCATTTTTGTACTTTTGAGCAATGTACCTCAAATTTTCACTATTTTTATTCGGTAAGAAAAAATCTTAACCATATCCGCATTTATCGGAAATGGATACGGTTCGGATATTTGAGAATCGGATCGGATATGATCACGGATATAAACAGATATTCGACATAAATCTATTAGACATATAATCTTCATCCAAAACCATCAATTAAAAACTAAAATTGAGTACAAATTTATTAGATATATAATCTTCATCCAAAATCTTCAGTAGCACAACCCAACTAAAACAATAGTGTCAGGAATTGTAACCAAACTACAACAATCATATCCAGAATTTCAAAGGTCTATGAATTGAAAGTTGAAGGCAAAAAAAATCAGACAACATTCAACATTCAACATTTCACAACATTCAACATTCAACAAAAAGTTCATGCCACAAAACAATCTCCAAGTCATTAAACAATCTCAAGACACAACAAATACAGCCTAATCTTAAATCTCCATGTTATCGCTAACATAGGATCCACCCCCTTCTGACATTCATACTTATGTTCCTTCTTTCTCTGCTGGACTTATCCCCACTTTTTCTCTCTTTTTTGTGTCTTAATCATGTACCTCATTACTAAATTGCAAAAACTCATGTGCTTAAAACAGTGTAAGGTTACACTTATCACATAGGTCCCTTTCCCTAGGAAAACCGCATCTCTCTCCTCTATGACGCTCGGTTTAATAGCAACATTTGAGATAGCAACATTGGAGCTGAAGACAAACATTTCACAAATCAGTTTATGAAACTGATTGTATGATTTTGAAATGGAATTAAGATGATATTTGTCCAACATAGTATAGCAAATGGTAACTCAGAAAAAAGACTACAGGTGCAAAAATAGCCATACCCTCTTATCAAATCTCATCATCCAAGTCGTAGACCTCCATGATATCACCTTGTAAAAAAACGAAAAAAAACAAAAGAACAATTGTCATGTTAAATATAGAAAAATAAAAATTTCAAGTCATGTGTTTATTGAATCAAATAACATACCTAATGGTGCTTTTACAAAGGTCTCGACAATCTCCATGTCATCGTTATCCACTATCTTAGACACATCAAGAACATCATCCTTTCTAGTTTCAACTTGTGTAACTACACAAAAAAAATAGAGAAAAACATATAATCATTAGATGCTCATTAACCAAAAATAAAAAGATAAACTTTGTACAAATTTATTATTTACCCCATTGTTCCGTTTTAATCCGATCTTGTGTGCATATCAATGCCTCCACCGTATATATTATCATTCGGCTTCTATAACAATGAATTACACGTCCACCGGCGCTAAATATGCTTAGCTGCTTTTAAGTAAGCGATTTCTATGGATTATATTTTCATTTGTTTTCATCCGGTGGCAATTAAGTAAGCGATATTTTCTTAGAATTCTACAGATTTCAAAAGACGCATAAATTTCTTATGCGTACATATCAATAACATAAATACTCTTCGTGCGACTACAAATGCTTGTCTGGTTGAGTAAGCCTTAGTGCTCAGAGAAAATCACTAATTTCAAAAGTAGCCTAAGTTTATCTACGAACGGACTTCAACGAAATAAAAACTCTATAAAAGGGTACAAATACTCATTAGGTTGAAAAAGTTAAACTTTGCTATAACCCTTAGAAAATTGCAAAAGTCGCATAAATTTATTCATGCATGCACTTCAGTGGTTTAAAAACTCCATTACGGCACTGCAAAGTACTTATTTAGCGAACAAAACAAACTTCAAAGGTTATGCAGCCAAAGAAATCGCATATTGAATGGCATTAATTATTCCTCAAAAAATGTAATGATTTGGTCTAAAAAGCCAAAATGAAACTGTACATACAAAATACAACATTGCAAGGCAAATTGAGACCGAACAAACTTCAAACTAGTGTAACCATACGATGTTAGCAAAATGGAAATTCTTTCCAATGATGACAAGCTTCTCAACTTCACCAGAAATCTCGAGCTAAATAAATGATAAAGACATTATCACAGGCCAATAGTCCGTTACTGAATCATTCAACATGGCAGGAGAAATAAACTCGGCAAGCTTTAGATTTTAAACATGGAAAACTGCTTCATATCCATAAAACGCTCCAACGTGTAGCTTTTAAAAAAGAATATTACAACGCAGCGTAAACAAAAAGAAATGGCTGCTTCATTATATACTCCTGCCGTTATTGCAAACCCCAAAGGTTCAGAATGCTGCTGACAGAAATTAAAAGTCGGCTGCAAATAGATCAGCCACAGGAGCAAATATGGGATTTTAGGCACAAGCTCATGGTATGATGTCATCCAATTAGACTGCCACAGAAGGGTCATATGCAAGATGACGCTACTTAATAACAGTTTACTTAGCCCAGTTAAGATGCTCACCCACTTAACATGCTCACACACCAAATCCAACACGAGCATGAAAAATGTGCGACATCACGCTAGTTAGCAGCAGTTTACTTAGGCCAACTAAAAACGTTTACACACCTTAACGATCAAAACAGGCACACCAAAAAGAAGGCAGGTTCTTTTATGCGAACCAAACTCGCTAGGATGCAGATTCCCGTCATTTATCAAGAGATAGATTATGTTGAACTTGCAAAATTCCTTGCTTGGTGCATTTATTCTGAGCGCATTTGGTCTGACCTGAGCAAGAAAATGAAATTGCAACCCAAATTGAAAACAAAATAAGCTGTGAAGAAAGGACGCTGAATAGCTATATCTCAAAACATTAATCAAGAGAACAATATTTTGCATAATACATGATACAATAGAAGTCCATCAAAACATTAATCAAGAGAACAATATTTTGCATAATACATGATACAATAGA